AGCGATAGCAGAGAGCTGGATTGGAAGTGGAGCAGCTGGGACTTGAACTGGTGGCCATATGGGATGCTGCACTGCAGGCTGCAGCCTTACCTGCTTTGCCACAGTGCTGACCTCAGGTTATACAGCATTCCGACTCATTGCTGTGAAGTGTTCTGTTATGAGAGCGCACCATACCTTGTTTCTCTGGTCTACCACTGATGGACATTTGGGTAGTTTTCTATTTTTGTCCATTCCTAATGGTGCTGCTGTGAAACTTTGTTGAGCATATACCCATTACTGCCGACTATTTTTACTACCAAAGGCTTATTATAAAAGGTGAGGTGAATTATCTTCCATCACATGTAACTGAATTGATGGTCTCTTATGGATGAGTGAGTATTGTTTGACTTTTTATCTGGTGACTTCTTTTTATGTGGTGACTTTCATGGTGTGAGGGCAGAGCACATTTTAAACATTTTGCAAACATAAAAGAACTCCCTATGTTTTGATAGGTGCTCAACTATTTGCCGATCAAATGAATGAATAACTGGCATGTGTTCCTCTTATGTGAACAAGCCTGCTGACTTACTGCTTAGCCAAAAGTTGATTAATTAAGAGATTCATCATGACCCAGTGTAGGCCAATTTTTTTTTTAAGACAGAGTTACAAGGGCTGGCACTACAGTGCAGCGGGTTAAAGCCCTGACCTGAAGTGCGAGCATCCCATATGGGTGCCGGTTCGAGACCCAGCTGCTCCACCTCCTATCTAGCTCTCTGCTATGGCCTGGGATAGCAGTGGAAGATGGCCCACGTCCTGGGGCCCCTGTATCACTATGGGAGACCTGGAAGAAGCTCCTGGCTCCTGGCTTTGGTTCGGCACAACTCTGGCTGTTGAGGCCATCTGGGGAGTGAACCAGTGGATAGAAGACTTCTCTCTGTCTTTACGTCTCACTGTAACTCTGTCTTTCAAATAAATAAAGTAAATCTTCCAAAAAAAAAAGACAGAGTTTCAGAGATGTAGAGCCAGAGAGAGAGAGAGAGAGAGAGAGAGAGAGAGAGAGAGAGAGAGAGAGAAGTCTTCCATTCCACTGGTTCACTCTCCAAATGATTGCAACGGCCAGAACTGATCCGAAGCCAGGAGCCAGGAGCTTCCTCCAGGTCTCCCACACAGGTGCAGGGGCCCAAGGACTTGGGCCATCTTCCACTGCTTTCCCAGGACACAGCAGAGAGCTGGATCAGAAGAGGAGCAGCCAGGACTTGAACCGATGCCCATATGGGATGCCAGTACTGCAGGCTGGGGCTTTAACCCGCTGCGCCACAGTACTGGCCCCTAGGCCAATTATTACAGTCCTCTTAGAATTTGGAGCCTCAAGGAGACTGGATATTGTTGATGGTGGGTCCCTGTGATTGTGCTCTTAGAAAACCCACAGGCTCTTGCTGTTGGGTCCTACAGGCATAATCGATCCTGCTCTTCCCTCATTCCTTGATGCAGCCAGAAGAGCTCCAAGTATGACTTAAACAATGCAAAATTATTTTGGATTAAGTTCCCAAATACAAAGAAGAGAAAAGAAATGTTGTAACATGTCAAAGTAAGGCAAGCTCAGTGAAGACTAGTTTCATTGGGCATCCTTTTCCCTTGGCTTCTTTTTTGAGGAGACCTACTGTGGATATTTTCGAAGGCAGAAACTATGCTATTAAGACAGCAGTTCAAGAGAGGAGTGATGGATCCTGAACCAGAGAAGTAGATGTGAGATTGCAAAGGATGGATGGTGCAATACCTACAGGGAAAGGCTTTGAAGTCTTAGAAATGGAATCTGGGGGCTAAAGAGAGAAGTCAAAGATGATGTCACATTTTGTGTTTCTTTGTTAGGAAAGATAATGGTAACATTATTTTAAAAAAGGACACTCAAGGACAGCAAAGACGGAAGGAATCAAGATGAGTTCAAGGTATTAAGTTTAAGGACCTGATGAGACAACCAGATTATTTTGGTTGCGAATATGGGCTTAAGAGGAAGATGTGGAAGTGGGCACCTTATTTATTTAGCCTTTTGCAGTCTCAGTTCCCTGTCTATATGTTGATAGCTCCTAGTCAGGATGGAAATGCCACAGTACATATAAAGGGTTTCACTTATTGCCTGGTAATTAAGGATTCATAAAATATGTATTAATAGGATGATGATGATTTGTGTCTAGAGGGTCACTGGAAAATGGGGACTGGCGTGCTGTGCAAAGGATCTGCATACAGATGGAGATGATACAAGAGGGTGTGGAGAGGTAAGAGGGAGCAGTCCAAGTCAGCATGTTGTAAGCCATACCTTTTAGGAAAATGAGACAGAATGGGAGCTTGAGGAGGATACTGAGCTAGAACTCTTTGTGAGGAAGGAGAAGCTGGAAATTACAGTCACAAGATCCAAAGGAGGGGAGTGTGGACTTCGCAGCAGCCAAGATTCTAGCGAAGTCGTCGGTACACCAGATTTAAAGCTTGGTTATCGTTAAAATCAAATACCTCAGTGTCAGAGGCAGCAATGTGTTAGGTCACTCGCATGTATAAGAAGCCCAAGTCCTCTGGGTAGCAGGCATCTGCATGTCGACTCTTGCCAGTATAGCATGAACCAACACTTGAAAATTCTTTCCTGTCTTCTCTTTTGTCTCCTCCCACACTGCCAGGATGCTGTCTGCTGCTGCCACCCACCTCTGGAGGACAGCCAAACAGATGAAATGTAGGGGAGAAAAAAAAAAAAAAGACAAATAATGATACACAGGCAACAGTTTGCACATTTTTGTGGAAAGCTTGTGGGTTTCAAGCTTTGCTTTCCCTCATCAACATAACTGGCAACATTGGTTTTTGTGTATGTATGATGGTGCTAGGAGTTTGAAAGTGTGTTACCTTATAGTGATAAGGGAAAAGAGGAAGGAGGCTCCAGGGGAGACTAAAAAGAAGTCAGGAGTGGCAGGTATTATGCGGTGGGTTAAGCCTCTACTTGGGACCCCTGCATCCCATATTGAAGTTCCAGTCTGAGGCCTGGATACTGTGCTTCAGAGCCAGCTTCCTGGTGGGGGTGGGGAACATCTGGCCCTTGGACTGTATATAAGGCCTGCAGAATCATTTGGTCTAGCCCTGCCAAGGTCACCGCAGGCGGGACTTGAAATTCAGTAAACCTATAGCAGGCTAATTTGTTAGTTGATGATTTTGTATGGCCACAAATGATGTTATAAATATCCAAATGGCCCTTGGCAGAAAAAAAGTTCCCCACTCCTACATCCTGGGAGGCAGCAGATGGTGGCTCAAGTGCTTGGGTCCCTGCCACCAGAGTGAGAGACCAGGATGGAGTTCCTGGCTTCCTCCTGGCCCAGCCCTGGCTGCCACGGCTATTTGGGGAGTAAACCAGTGGATGGAAGATGTCTCTCTGCCTTTCAAGTAGATGAAAATAAACATTAAAATGTCAAGACACAAAAGGAAAAAGAGGAGCAGAATGAGGAGGTGCAAGTTTGGCAATAGACAGATGAAGGATGTGTTCTAGAAGACAGGTTGCTAGGACTTTTTAATAAAATTTATTCGAAAGGCAGAGTGACAGAGTCAGAATCTTCCATTTTCTCATTCACTCCTCAGAAGGCTACAACTGCCTGGGCCAGGCCAAAGCCAGGTGTCTGGAACTCCATCCAGGTCTCCTATGTGGGTGCAGGCACCCAAGCACTTGGGCCATCCTCTGCTGCTGTCCCAGGCTCATTAGCAGGAAGTTGGTTGGGAAGTGTAGAGGGAGGCTGGAACCAGCGCTCTTATTTGGAATGGGCCACAATGATGCCTCCCCCCAACCCTTTTGTTTTGTTTTGTAAATGGAATTCTTAGCCCAAATTCTCCCCTGTGGGAATCAGTCTTCATTTTGGCAGCCTCTTAGTGACAGCACTGGGCTTGGACTCCACCAGGAAGGGTGAGTAGGTGGGTGGGCAACTGTGAGCTCTGTCTCTAGGGTGCAGTTCTTGTGAAAGCAGCAGGCCACCCAAGCACAGGGAAGGCAGCCAGGCCCACCCTATTTTCTCCTGGCCTAGTGTGTTTGGGGTTCCCTGAAGTAGCAGCCCAGTTCTTTGGGGATTATAACATTAAGCAAATTGTATAAAGTATAATTGAAGCAAATTTCAGTTTATACTGCAGTTTCATATTTTAAACGGTGATTTTTAATTCATTCCTGAATTAACAACAGGTGTCCATTTTGGGATTGGGCTATCTCCTCCTCCACCTTACTTCCCCTGCCGCCCCCAGTCACTTGTATCAGTTATCCAAAAGGTCTTGGCCCGATTTCCAGGTGTGAACAGCAACTGTCAGGGGGCCCTTAGACTGCAGAATATGCGTGTGCACTCATTCACAGAGGTAGGCTCTTAACTATTTGAAACGGCATTTAAGCTTCTTCAGTATTTAAAACGAAGTTGTTGCAGTGGATCACCCTCCACACACAACTGGGTCACCCTGTGGGTTTTGCAAGGTCCCAGGCTTTTTTCTTAAGCATCCCTGCCGCCTGGTCTCGTCTTTGTTGTTAAACAAAGTGTTTCAGAACTGCAGGCCACGGCTGGGCATGGGTCACCTTATTTAGGAAGGCCTTTCCTCCAGGATGGGTTTATTTTTAGACTTGAGAGGCTTGAATTTCACCATCCCTGCTCTAAGCGGCGGGGGCGGCCCTGGAGTCGGAGCGGGCTCCAGACCTGCTGTGAGCCTTCTCCTCGCGCTGCACGGGTGGGTTTTCCTGAAAAGGCGAGGTGGCACCGATGGGATGCGGCTTGCAGGCTCGGTCGGCTGAGAGCGCGTCCCTCCTCCGTTCCTGCCTGCGCGCGCCCCGCGTTTCCCACAACCCCTGGCGGTCGGCCCCGCGCCCCCGAGACCAGGAGCCCGGCGTCGGTCCGAGCGGGCGGCCCTGGGCGCTCTCAGGAAAGTAGCGAGTGCGCTCGCCTGGCCCCGCCCGCGAGCGCCGGGTTCGGCTATTTCCGGCGCGGCGCCCTTCGGCAGGTTCCGCAGTCGCCTGTCGGAAATGGCTGCCGGCCGGCAGGGGGAGCGAAGGATCCAGCAGATCCGGCGCGGCCTGGAAGGCGCGCGGCCAGCGGCCAGAGCAGCTTCTGGGAATTCCAGTTTCGCTCAGGCGGCGGCGGCGGCTGCGGCAGGTCGTCCCTGAACTACAAGCCGGTAGGACTCCTGGCGCCGCGGGAGCTCGGGGAGCGGGGCCACCCTCCGCGGGGCTCGTGGGAGGCATCCCGGTGCTGGCTTCGAGAGCTGGGAACGCGGCGGCAGGACCAGGACTGGCGGTGCCGGGTGAGGCTGCTGCCCGGGCGGCGGGAGGCGTGCAGCCGCGGAGCGGAGTAGGCCTGCCCAGCGAATGGGGAGCTTGGGCGGAGGACCACGAGGCCCTTACCTCCGGCAAGCTGGGCTAACGGGTCTCCGTGGGGCTGGAAGCACCTCCTTCCCACCCCCACATGCCCCTTCTAGCACCAGTTTTGGTGCCTGTGGACCCATCTCCACCCCTTTATGTGGCCCCTCGGCTTCGACTGTCCAGCCTCTCCTCCCTGAAGCCCTCCACCCCTCTTCGTCCGCGGTGTTTGTGCAGCTGCTCGCGGGGAGCATCTTCTGTCGCAGGCCAGCCCGGGACTGCCCCACCCCCCCACGCCCCCAGTGAACACACTCGCACAGCTGCCCCACGCCGCCTCCACACAGTCTTCGGCCGCTGCCGCCCTTTCTGTGACTCTCTTTGCTAGCCTCACCTCTTTAACGATGAGCCCACGATCAGAATAGCCACTTCCTGTCCAAGAGTCCAGGTGCTGCCGCTCCCCGCGTCCGGGGCTCCGGGGCACAGGCCTGGCTCCGAGCGCTGGCCTAGCGCTGCGTGGGTAGGAGCGGGGCTGCGGAGTGCCTGTCTGCACCACCGAGGATTTAGCCCTGCGACCCGGGTCAGCCTCAGGCCGGAGCCCTTGGGCTGCAGATGGGGTGCTGCTTTCTCTCCTCCCCACAGTGAGCCAGCGGCTCAGCTCCTCTTTGCTTATCTTTGACTCTCAAGAGACTTAGATTTGCTGGATTTCTTTCCCCCGACCTGTACTGTTTTTCTTCCCTTTTCATAATTTCCACGAGCTTCAAGTCCTCGTGGTTCGGCTCCTTTGGTAGAGGAGGATATGCAGAACCCCATATGTCTGTGTCCTCCTCCTCCCCCCATATATGATTTTTACTTAAGAGGGGTCTTTAGCATTTCTTCTACTCTGTCAGTATGGGTAGCTCCCCTTTTGAAGGCTAAGCCTTCTTTTGTGTTTAAAAGCCTTTGTGTGTTGTAATCATGCAGGCTGCAGGCTTTTTGTAATTTGCTCAACAGCCTGTGGCGCTCTCCCTACACTGACTATAACTTAGGTCCAGAGTGCCTGCTGCGGTAACTTGTGGGGCCGAGAGAGTCTTGAGTGAAGCCAAGCATTTCTGGCAACTTATTTAACTGGGGGACTTTAAAACATTTCATGATGAAAGAAAAGCTATTGTCTTAAACTCTTTCTTGGTGTGGAAAAAATACTTCTTTACCACGTGGGCATTCCTTGATCTTCTACCTGTGGAGAGGGAGCCTCTGGACTAGAGAGTGCAGGGTGCAGAATACTTGAACCGTGTTTAATAGCCAAAGATCTGAGGGCTGTGCATGCTACAAGAAGCTTGACAAACGTGTCTTCACTCCATTTCTCACTTTTCTAGAGGAAAAATTGTTACTAAATATTTGGAGAGAAGGGCCACATAAGTAGTTGGAGTGTCTTCGTGATTTGGCATCTTGGTTTTTAACCTATGAGTGAAAAGGCTTGAACTTGGAAAGGTACAAGAGATGGTTTGAAGCCATCAGAATAATGTCAGTAGTCAGATAAGGATGTACTCTTTCCCCCAGGGCACTAGACTGGCTGTAGGGTGACAGATCATTGGAGGGGTGCAGGAGTGAGGTGGAGGGCAGTATGTGGCAGGGTCATTGTCTGAACTGAACCTAGTAACTCATTTTCTGGAGAATGGTTGGCGGGTCAGGTAGTAGGAGAAAAGTGAAGAACGCACCAGATCTCTCACTGGAGGTTTGTGCCTTTGCATGCAGTTGCTCTGGACAAAGGTAAGGAATAGGAACCAGGAGCCTTTCATAAAGTCCTAAAACTGCCCACTAATTTCTGGTGGAACAGAAAACTTCTGTTAACATATCTCTTTTCCTTTTATTTTGTTTCCTCTTAATTTCTTTTAGAACTGCTAATCCAGGAGGCAAGAAATTTTTTTCACGAATTTGTAGGGTCCATGAAAACAGGGAACCCCAGGCAGATGGAGTAGGAGAACTCAAGAGCTATAGAGGTGGGCCCACCTGTATCTAAGCTTGATGATTCTACCTGAACCAGTCACACACTCCTGTTGCATTTTCAGCCTTTCTGCTGTCTTGGGTGATGTTACTAGGTGGAAGAGAAGCAGGATTAAAAAAAGCTTTAGTCTTGAAAGTAGAAGAAGAATGTGGAGATTCATTTAGTATCATAGCTCTCCTACACATAGACCAGAAACAGTGTGGATATAGTTGACATGAACCACAATGAACTGTTAAAATCTTGGAGATGGAGCCACAGGAAGATGCACTGTAGAGTCTGGTAGAAAGCAGCATATGTATAACGTGACAAAACCTAAAATACAGTAGTTATGCATCCAAATGATCCATAACCAAACCAATGAGGCTGTGTTCCATTGAAACTTTATTTAAAACCATGCAGCTGGCTATGTTTGCCAGTGCCTGCACTGGAGTATCACCACTCACACACATGCCATCACTTTTGTATATTCTTCCAATTTACTTGTCTGATATCTTTTAGACTAGTTAATGATATTAATGATTAACATCCTGAATGTTTGCTTTATTGACTGTTTTCTCTGTTATCCTATGCTCTTCGAGTGTCATTTTAACCCTTTTCTCCAATTTCTATTTAAATTTTTTTTTCAACAAAGTTTTGAATTCTGAGGGAGGAATAATTTAGGTTGGGAATTTGCTCTTAATATGTATTATAAGAGAGGGAAGACATGAACATGATGGTAGATTGCATCAAAGTCTTTAATAACTATCTAAGTTCCTTACTACCATGTGATACTTTCATGTGTTTTTTCCTTAGATTCTGATCTTTAAAGTCACTGAGCTATAAGAGGCTAAATGTTACACTGTTCCTTTTCTTGAAGGGAAAGGTAGATAGGAGAGAACACTGAGGCTTGGGGACGTTTAATTATTTGAGCATCTTGAGTTGGTCAGTATTTCCTGATTTGTCCCCTGGGAACTAAGTTCTTACATGATGTGACCCTCCCTAAGCACTCATTCCAGTTTGTAGAGTAGGTTCCAGGGGGTTTTCCTTAGAATGAGCTGTGTTTTGCCTCCCTATCGTTGTTGGCTGTTAAGGCCACATAGAAAAACTGTAATTCCCCAGGGCAATTTTTCCAGATGTTTGAAGATAGCCCTCATGATCCCCTGTGACATAAGTTGCAGAATGGTGTACGTAGATGAGTAAGGCCTGCCCAACTCACGTAGAAACTTAAACTGGAAGCCAACTTTTAGAAATGGGGAGATTTCACATGAAAATCTCTATTTCTGTCTTCTCTAGAGAAAAAAGTTTAGGATTTGGTGCTGCAGTGTTCACATTTCTGATGCCAGTGATCACCATTAAATGCTCAAGAAAGACTTCATTTTGCCAAGTCCCTCCCTGCTGTAGAGATTGCAGTCCTTTCCCGGGTGGTCTGTTCTGAGAGCTAGATGTGTCCAGTGCCCTTCAGCTCTTTGACTTGCCAGTTTGAAATCCCCTCATCAACTTCTTAGTCTTCTTTCTTCCTTTTAGTTTGTTAATGGCTCTCAGAGTAGCATTCACCATGGAATACTGTGTTGATTCAGGGTAGAGCAAACTTCCCTCTAATTTTCGACCCTTACTTTGTTTTAAAAACACACAATGAATTTAAAAACAAGGTGTTTCTTTTTAAGCAGTCACATACTTTTGACGCATTGAAATCAGTCAGCTGAAATCACAATTTAGTGTGCATGTATGCTCCTATTAAACTAAGTCATTTCCATGTAGTTTTGCAATCTAAGTCCTGAACTTGTTACATTTCATCTGCTTAGATATTCCAGACTGCTAAACATTTTTTTTATTCTGAGTTTTCTTCCAGTCTTGCTTTGTTCCTCCCAGCATGGCTCCCCTTATTTTTTGAAGCAGAGCTGTAAAATATTAAAGCACTGTGGCTTAGAATGTAGAGAACAGTTGATATGGCCCCAAACCATTATTAATAAATTCAATGGAAAATTAAAGGGGACATTGAAGGAAAGTGTTGTGCTTGAAATCTTGGAGGTGAAACAAGAGGAGGTCTGTAGACTAGCCTTGCTGCCTTGAGTTGATACATTGGTGAAGTAGTTCCCCTAGTAAAACAAGTATGTATGTGCTTTCTGAGTGCAAGGCTCTTGTAAGCCTACATTCTAGAATTTAAAAGGATATTTGAGGTCATCTAGTCTAATCCTTTAATTTATGAGTTAAAAAAGGAGGAGTTTATGAATCAAAAACAAGGAATTGTGAAGATAGGGGCTCTGATGAGTCAGAAAGATGGTGATGATAAAGGGACTGCAAAACTTGAGTCTGCAGTTGAATTCACCCATGAAGGTTGAAGTAAGGTGCCTGAGTCATGAGCCGGTGTATGTGTGGCTTAGCAGGCTTTAGCTTCAGTTTCTCCGTCTCACGTAGGGAGGCCAGGGTACCAGTGAGATCAGTTGTGTGTTTCCACAGCATAAAATAATAATCATGTTTTCTTGAGAAACAGTAGCCTTAGATCACTTTATTCTAGGCACTTGCTTGCAGATCAGGTTGACTTGAAAAATATGTTAGCAAAATCCATCTGAAGGCCTTATTTAAAAAAACTTTTTATACCTCTCTTCCCCTTATGAAAATAATGCACATTCGTTTTTAGGAGAGAGGGAGAAAAAAATAGGAAGAACACAGAAATTACCAAAAATAGGAAGAACACAGAAAGGTTCCCTGTGCTATTTTTGCTTCTATTTGTTTTTCTATTCGAAAATACATACATACTCATTTTTAAACATTTTATATCCTCCTGGATATATAGTTTTGAATCTGTATTTCCACTTAACATTATATTGTGAACCTTTTCTGTTTTATTAAAACAATTGG